ACCAATCGACGTAATGGTGCTCAGCTGTGATAATTGTTATGCTATGATTGGACAGAAACAGGGAGGATTCCTTGGTATCGTTTTGTTCGCTTCACAATATGTAGATCGTCTTCTGTGTATTGTTCATAATTTTATTTGCATTCTCACCTATAACATCACCTTATTAAAAGAAGTCATGCTTTCAATCTTCCAATTCAACTTTGTTAAGGTTTTATACAAGATTCTTTGAGTCGTGCTGAGCACCATATCTGGTTTGAAAGGAGCGAGGCTGGAGATAGGAAAAAAGTAACTCAAAGGTGCTCCCGTACTAACGTTTCTCTCTTGTGTTATTCAGTCTTTTTAATAATCAGTGTCTTCATTATATGTTTTAGATTGAGGGAACATGTGGAAGATGAGAACAAGTTGCCCATCATTATTTTCCCAGAAGGAACATGCATTAACAACACATCTGTCATGATGTTCAAAAAAGGGTCTTTTGAGGTGGGCAGTACTACGAGTGCACCAAACTTCAACTTAATTTTAGGCTAGTTTAGTCTGTAATCATCTGCAGCCTGCTATTATAGATTGGTAGCACAATCTATCCAATAGCTATGAAGTACGACAGTCGACTGACGGATGCATTTTGGAATAGCAGCGAGCAATCCTACGGCGAGTACTTATGGAGAATGATGACCTCATGGGCAATCATCTGTGACGTGTGGTATCTGCCACCAATGACCAGAGAGGTTAGAAGGAACCATTTCTTAATCTCAAATGCAACCTTTTTTCATTGCTCATCTCCAATTTTAGCCGGGTGAAGATGCCATAGCCTTTGCCAGAAGAGTCAAAAAGGCAATTGCTAAAAAAGGAGGGCTTGTGGACTTGGAGTGGGACGGAGCTTTGAAAAGAGAGCGGGTACTCTGCACATTCCATGCTTTTCATTCGAATTCTTCTTTTCTATTATGACTCCACTCGATGCATGGCTAAATGCGACAAATTTTAAGATTCGCTCGTAGAAAAGCACTGTTTCCTACCCTGCTTGTGGCACTTTCTGCCTAAGCAGAATAAGGAGGGTTCCTGCTCATGGCCTGAAAAGTAGCATGGTATAGCAAGTAGAACATAGGAATAGCGAGCGATTCTTGAAGTGATTCGAGTTTCGCCTTCCGCGTTACCCCCTCCTCTCTTTGCAGTTTATGTTTCGTTATGCTTACGCCTGTATGCCATTCAGGTTTCTTCAAAATTGATTCAACTGCAACAGAAGCTTTATTTTGATCGGCTAGCTAGAACAACAACGATTAATAATATTATTGACGAAGAAGTGCGAACAGACGTTCTTGACATCATGCAAGTAAGCATTTTTTTTTACATTTTTACTTTCATTCACTTATGTGCTAAACTCCTTATAGTGATTAGTTAAGAACACCTTCAAATTTTTTATTTTGTCACGGAAAAAGAATATGGATAGTGGGATTACC